TCTGAGATTGAAGGTTCCTCCTACAACACACCATAAAGGTCGAAAAGGGCGAGAGTTATCCAATGCCTCGACAAATGAAGAGATCAACGCAATTGAAACATCTACCAGAAATGCTCTACAGATGCTCAAGCCACCCCCTGAGGATGCTCCAATCGGGAGCGAACACCGGCCATGGTTACGCCTGACAGAATGGGAACTGACCCGCCTACGAAAGAGAATGAAGAAAAATAACGTCTGGCAACCGAGCGAGGTCATGGTACATCGCGAGCTTGCGGTGCGTGGACGCGGATGGGATAATTATCAGCGTGCCAGAGCACACGCTAAAGAAACCGGCACAGAACTGATAGACTGCGATGATATTGAACACAACTATATGCCCGGCCAATCGATCCAAGGTCGCGACATCCATGCAGGCCAGGAGACCACATTGACTAATCGAGGTATGAAACTCAACGAAGCGAAAAAGTTGAAGCGCGAAAATCTTGCTCGTGAAGCGGCGGCGGCGGCAGCGGCAGCGGGAGAGACAGACGACAAAGCACAATCTCCGCAAGTGACGCGAGTCATGTCACGAAGCTCACGTTCGAGAACTAATAAGAACGATCAAACAAATGATGACGGCGTTGATGCTGTTGGCAATAATATCCGTTCTCGTCAAGCTAGTTCTGTTGCCACTGGGCATGGTGCTGCTGCTGATTTTTCAAGCAATGCGTCGCAAGCTAACGAGAATTTATCAAAAGACAGGGAAAGCAGACAGACAAGGAAAAGAAAACCTGCGGACCTGGAAATAGCACTGGATCATGACTCTGAGATAACTTCAATTACTAGAGCATCAAGGAAGAAAAGTAAATCTGGGGAAGAAATTGAGGCTACAAGTGCGCCAACAGATCACAGGACAACAAGACAGCAACAGCAATCTCGCGCCCAATCCCCTGAAAAATCGTCCGGAGCCCAGAAGGGTAAGTCTCTTAACATCCGTGGGCCTTTGCCTATGTGTCACAGTTCATAAGCTAATACTGTTATTCCAGCAGCAGCAGCAACCACAGGAGGCCGTCGCAACAAACGCCCTGCTCCTGGACCGGTGACGTCGAGTCAGGATGGCGGAACTGCGGTGAGCGTTGGTCGTCGGAAGACAAAACCAGCAGCAGCACGCCAAATGAAGCGAGAATCGCTCGCAAAGGAAATCACACAGCAAGCGATGATATTGGACCAAGAGGATATGAGGATTGATGAGGACGGTGTCCATGAACAGGTTGATCCCAACGAACCTAGATATTGTATCTGTGGTGACGTGAGTTTTGGGACTATGATCTGTTGCGAGGACGATAACGTGAGTCAATTCGGCCAACCCTGTCTACGGGTATTGTTACTGACGTACCGGTTTTTTTTTTTTTTCTGCTCCTTCAGTGCGACAAGGAATGGTTCCATCTGGAATGTGTCGGTCTCACTGAAGTTCCAAGTCGTACCGCAAAATGGTACTGTCCCGAGTGCAGGACGAACATCGCGAGAGCCACCGCCGATGGAATTGTCCGCAACGGCAATCGCCGTTAGCCTTCTGATCTTTGCTTGAAGCATATTTGTGCCCCGCATCTTGTTTTTTTTCTGTGTATTACTTTGCAGATACCCTGTCGTCTGTCTGAATTGCACGCACATGTCAATCATATATCAAGTTGCATCGCAGCATATCGCTCTATTTTCTGGGTTGTTGTTTTGGGGTTCCAAGGGCTCTTTGCTTGACTGGGTCTGAACAAGGCGGCCACTGATGTCGTAGGGATCCGCGGAGCAAGTGTCTCATTTCAGGGGGTCTGAAGATCGTTCTCGACGGTCATCCGTGCGTTACCACACCCCGCTGATGAGAACGCAGCTGTCCACTGTCCACCATGAACAAACAACGGAAGTACCGTGGAACCTGTCCGTCATACTTCAGTTATTTGCCTCAGCTTCCTCACGATTCTGTGCAGTCTGGTTTGATTCTGTGTGTGCCGCCGCTGGGTTCCGCATAAAAGACGCCTGGCTCCCTGCTGGCAACAAGAGACAATTTCGCCTCCGCTCAAGCTCAAGTTCAATCAACCTCTTCAGCTATTCCTCAAAATCAATTAATCAATCAAATTACCAGTCTATCAAAATGGGTTGCCCCTGTGGATCGAAATGCTCCTGCTCTGGACCTACTTCCTGCTCATGCGGAGACAAGTGCTCCTGCAGCGGATGCAGCGTAAGTGGACGCTGACGTCCTCTGATTCCCTCTAAATCTCGGTCCATGCTAATCGGAGCCTACAGAAGTAAATTCCTTGCTGTGATCACCGCCCGCTGAACTTCATCGTGGGTTTTGTGACACCACTCCCCCGATGAAGGGCAATGTCTGTTTCCACTCAACTCTGGACGGTCCCGATGAGTTACTAGCAGTGGCAATGGCAACGGTCGTCGACATGGATGATCATCTTCTGTCTTGAGACAGACATTGATACCTGCAAAACCCTTGTTCGTCCCTGTGGACAAAGACGAATAGCAATGGCTGGGTTCGATGTGGAATGCACGGACAGTGATGAATTTAACGCAGTGCAAATGAATCGGTATTCAACAATCATTATCATCCTTCTGACTGTGCTCGTAGCCTTCGCTCTTGTAGCGTGCAATGTTTGTGAGAGTATCGGTAATCTGTAGAGATTAGGGGCTGCTGGGGGTATGGTGCACGGTGCACCGAGAGGAGACACTTATGGCTGTAACCCGCAATGCTATCCTGACAGGGATCGTCGAGTGCTCCGTGATAAGAACCTGTGAAGCAGTCGAGGTCCAACTTGCTGCCTTCCTTTCTCTCTCCCTCTCCCACTCCCTCCCCTACCTCTTACCCATCAACAGTTACAAGAAGAAACCCGCAGCGAGAGAATCCGCATCCCTCAAGCCAGCAGAGTCACAGTTGACAGCGGCGAATTCCCACCCCCAGCGTGCGTTCTTCGCCCATGACATCATCTCCCCGTCATTGCGCTCTCCTCTCCACGACGGCCTCTCACCAACCCGCCCATCAGCGTCTACAGAAGCAGAATCATTCATGATGGCAGCTACACGCAGTGCGTTCTCCTCCTGTCAGCCTGGCTGCACCTCGTTCCGCTTGTCCTAACCCGCCTGCAGAAATAACACTCATATGTCTCCCGAACAAACCAGTCCAGGGCCCTACCTCTCTCCCCGACGCTGCAGGTCCGCAGCACCGCCGGTTGACACTCAGCCCTGATCAGAACGAGACCATCACCCTTGGACGTGCCTCCGATCACCCCGAGAAATCTGACCGCGAGCCCCTCAAGGAGAACGCATTGTTTAGGTGTCGCGTGGTCAGCAAAGAGCACGCCAAGATCGGGTGGTGGAATGAGCAGGTGAGAAACCACCGGTGTAATTCGTGCCCCTTTTCTCTGGGGCAATCTGGCTAACCCGTACTCCACGCAGTATCTCTATATTCAAGACCTCAACTCCCTTCATGGGACGTATGTCAACAACGAGCTGTTGCCGCCGGGGACTATGCTGCCCTTGAACCACCATGACATCGTGCAGCTAGGCATTTGTTTCCGCAGTGGAAAGGGTATGCGCACTCACTACAATGATTACTTGTGCCCTTTGGTCTTCATTTCTAATGTGCTTTTCTTGCTTATGACCTCCAGGCTGGATCAATCCAGTGCGTATGCGCGTTGAGTTTGATGGCCAGGAACAGGCTTTAAAACCATTGGCAGCTACTTTCGACTTTGAAGGGGTTTACGACAACATCTTGAACAGGATCAAGGTATCCGCAGTCGAAGATGTTGAAACGACTAGCAGTGAGAGCAGGAGCGAGAGTGAGGTTCCTACTGAAAGTGAGAGTGATGACGAAGGAGATACGAATCCAAGTGACCCAGGCAATGACATATTCGATGAATTGACAGCGTTTGAGGAGAAAGACAGCAATGATGATGTTGCGATCATCGTCGGTGAAGCTGCTGAGCCCATCTCGGCTATTACACCTGTGATCTTTCCCGAGGGAATTTCAACCAACAATGTCTCTTCACCGGGAATTACGCATGTGGAAGTCGAGACCAAGCTCCCGGTGCTCAGAAACATTGCTTATTCTCCACACCTTCGGGAAAACACACTTCAGAATTCTCAGAGGCCCATCACTCCATCAATGGCGGCCCTTCTTCGAGGAAATGACAAGGGTGTCGGGTCCGAGAAAACGCCTCAGTTGGTTGTCCAGGATCATGGGTCATTAGATCTCTCCGGGGTGACATCCATAAATCAAAGTGGTAGCACAGGAACAACAACAATAGCAGGAGCAGCGAAAAGGAAGCTTGACGACGTATCGGATGAAGGCGAAGAAATGGACATTGATGAGGAATATGAGAACACAGAGCATATGTTAGGTATCTCAGACGGTCCCATTCATTGCTTCTCACACGAAGACAATGCCGATTCCCTGATAGCCAGTGCCACATCAAGGAAAGCCAGGAAGATAGACGCATCGTCGCCAGGCCAGTCTTCACAGATGTTCGTTGTCGAAACTTCTGCTAGCGGGAGCAAACAGTCAAGAACCCTAGTGCAGGTCACAGATGCCGTCAGAGGTGCGACCAGGACTGCAGGAATATTTGCCAGTGGTGTCCTGGCAGGCGGTGCTGCGATGGCTGGGTTTCTTGCCGCGATGTCTGACTGAAGTTACCCCTCCAGTCGGTCACGTACTGATTTATCTCATATCATCGTATGAGATATAATGGCCACGGTAATCCGTGCAGCTTTGATTTTCTTGTTATATCTGATGATTCTGCTGGTCATGGCATCATAGGCGTTCATGCATGGGGCTCAGAGATCGGTGCTGGGCAACGAATACCACTTAACGCATGTTTGATTATTTTCATTAACAACAACAGCCATACATAATTAATCTCGTCACTTCGATGCATCTCCATTAATCGAAGCCGCCCGTCATTATACCCCTATTCCTGTCTAAGTTTCTAGTGTAAGGATTTACGGCCGTAATCGGCCGCGCGCAAGGTTGTATAGTGTAGTGGTTAGCACATCGGATTTTGATAGCATCAAATATCAAAGCCTTCCGATAACCTGGGTTCGAGTCCCGGTACGACCTTTTTTGGCCCTGCATGTGCCAGTTTTTTGATACCTATCGCCTTGCGATGTTGCCTAAAAGAGCTGGAGTGATCCTGTGTTGGCTTTGCAACGGTTGCGGGAGAGCTGTGATGGCCGGCCGATACATGCCAGTGCCAACCGCTTAATTTGAGCATCGTGGGCATGGAGAAGCAAACTCATTTGCAGTAGACGAGCATTTCCCCCTGAATGCATAATTGATACGATACTGCTCGCCCCTTGCTACCCCTGTCAAAACAGCTATGGTAGTAAGCTGAGTAGAAAGAACAGAACAAGCGTAGACGTGTATTGTGATTACTACAAAAGTATATGATAGTGCTTGCATGTCAAGTTCAATGATCCAGTCAAGTCATCGTTGAACAAGCCTCTTAGTTCTCCTGTCCTAATTTCGCCAACGACTCTGATAAGAAGTCTGTGGCATTCACAAGCTCTGTGCTTCCGTAAACGACCCTCCGCTTTGGCTGCCCCTGACTACCGGAGCTTCCACTGCCCTGGGAGCCCCCACTGCCTGCACCGCCGCTAGACGGTCCGCCCGCGTATTGACTGCCGCCACCACTTGTCCTCCAAACCCAATCCTGGAGGTTGCCGTACTCTTCCATGCTACCTCCTCCAACGGTGAACACGATGGCCTCGGTGAATGCTTGTCGTCGCTGGCCGAAACTGGCGTTGATACCCGGGGTAGAACCACCTAGGGAGCCCGGCATGCCCGCGCCTGAACGAGAAGCGGATGTAGGGGGAATAGCACCACGAGCATTAGCACTGCGGGGATCGAAGTAGAGATAGTTCTCAGTCATTTGTATAGCAGAACTGGAAGCGCTGGCCGGGTCCATGATCGACTCTGTAATTTTGGTGAGGGTGAGGTCCTTGTTAGCGGGCAGGAAGTTTTTCACGCCCGCGAAAAGGCTCTCAAAATTAGAGCCTAGAGCTCCAGATGTTATTGTGCCCGTCAGTCGATTCGATAGTGAGGAAAACCCGCGGAATAGGTCAGAGGATTGTTGTTGTTGCTGCGGTTGGCTTGCAGAAGAAGTCATCATTGTCATGCGTGTGATCTCACGTACGCGACGGACATAAGTTATTGGACTGATGTCTTGTACCCCGGCTTGAGTCAAAGCCTCCTCAAAGCGAGTCACGTCGCCCTTTGACAGATCTGTCTCAGTACTAAAGAACCATATGAGGAATAACCTGAGTTTGTCCATCGGATCTTTGCCCCGTTCCGGATCGGCAATCAGATCAAGGATCTGCTGTTTGGACTGCTGCCTGATGTTTTCTTCAAGCTGGAAGAAATTGTCCAGTTGTCTGTCTTTGATCTCTTTCAGGAGAGCCGTTGCGATGTTCATATGCATGTCCAGAATTGCTTTCCGTTCCCTAAGTTCAGGAAGTAGAGTGATCGCCGCTTTCAGATGTTGTGTGGAAGACGATGCATCATTTTGAAGGTCCTCGATGGAGCTGGCACCAGTCTTCCTTGTTATATCGGCTGCATCTTCTTTATACCGTGTCAATTCCGCATCGATGTTTTCGGCCACTTGAGGGAAAGGCGCCCCGGCATTTTGTTTCCAGAAGAAGTCGTTCGCCGTCAAATCATAAGAGCGTTTTGTCAATCCCTTTTCTGGCGCGTTCTCGTCGATTGGGATTTCCAGCGTTATCCTGTTTAAATGCATTTTCAAGACATCTTGTATGAGTGACTGGTAAGTCCACGAGTGAGATAGCATGGGGACTAGATCAACGTTTCTATCAACAATTATCAAGACAGGTCGGCCACTGCTTGCAGGTGTCCCCAAGGGTGTGCGTCGTTGATTTTTGGAGGAAAATAAATTGTCTTTAGAATTGAGAATGTGGTCACGGAGCTTGCGATCTAGTTTCGTCGCAATGAGTTCTGCGGCCCCGCCTTTCGGGCAACGGATGATTGGGATAGCCCCTGAATCGAGTTAGTATGTGCAATGGTTAAACAGGGCTGATAAGGCCAGAGATTTCGATGTCGCATACCCATAGTGACACTAACGCTAAACAGGCCAGTAACGATTTTGTCAACGATCATGTCTATCTCCTCGTCCTTTGTATTGTTGCTGTTTATTCGCCAGTACGTATTCTTCCCCGACCCGAGACTAAACAAGTTTGGTTCCGCGACGATGAAGTTCAGATATTGATCGTACACCTGCGCAATCTTTTCAGAGGTGCCAGACGATGCGATCTGGTCTGCAAACTCTTCGAGCACGGGACGAGGTACAGACGAGAGGAAGTTAACGTAGGCGGGCGAGTATAGGTCTCGGGAGAGGTCTGAAGCGATGCGTTTGACATTTTCTGGGGTTGGTTCGACAAGATAGAGAACTGGCACATCTGGGATTGGGTACCGTGTAGAGTTTATGTTCCTGGAGGTTGGATAGAGCCATTTGTTAAATGTTTGTTGCATGATGCCCACAGAAGGGTGTACCTAGAACGAGCAGAACATACAGATGGATGGTGACTCCCCAGTTCCTCAGATCGCTCACGCGCAATACACTGCTGATGACATCTCGGCCCATATCATCGAAGACCAACACTTTCCAGATCGGGTCACCATCCTCGTTAAGGATAGGGGTGGTTTTCGCCAGATTGCCAGATCCAGAGATATCATGGCGGAACTCTGATGTCTGAGGAGCTTCGTGGTTCAAGTTCAGGACCTTTTCAATGGCCGCTAGGAAGGGACGTTAGGCATCAGCACAGTCTCTTGAAGAACTATGAATATGCGCAAGACGAGAAAGCTCACCTATTTGACGATCTCGTAGCGACGCTGGAAAGGACGCCATGGTCCTGCTGCCTGTCTGTCTTCTAGATTGCGACGGAAGTAGAACAAGTTGCTGGGAATCAAGTGTCTCAAATCAGGCTGGTAGCTGTGTCAGCTGAGCTTCCTAGCATACCCTGCACAAAGCCGTATGATGATGATGATGATGATCAAGCGAGAGCTATGTGATGAAGCGTCGTAGCATCAGCCGGGTCGTCATCGTCACCATCTGCGATCGTCGTCCCCGGGCCAGCTCCGCGGGGGATGCGCAATTGGAGTCGCCCAGCTCGGTGTATGACACTGTTTTATACTTGCAGCTAACGTTGTCATAGCCGGGAACATCCTCTGCCGGAAGCACGGACTTTCTATTCCATTTGGTGCTTTACCGGGCCCTTCCTCAATTTCCCTTCTTGACCTCCTCACCTCGTCTCGCCTCACCTCACCTCACATCCCGTTCTCACCACCACCACCACCACCACCACCATCGACTCTCCCAACACCTCCAGCGCCGCCAACGACACCTTTCACTGCCGCCACTTATTCATTTGACTCTCATCGCATCGTCTCGACTGTCCGCGTTTGTTTCCCCGTTCAGACGGCTTCGTAAAGAGAAAGGACTGGTCTGGTCTGGTCACAGCAATCGGACAGCTCCAATGCTGGTGAGCTCAGCATCTGCAGCAGTGTGAAGGTTGCTTCCCGGAGACGGAAGGAAGGAAGCAGGAACGAAGTGGAAGTGGGAGAGAGTTCCTTCTCCCGAAGCAAAAGAGTCAAAAGTACATTGTATGAGAAAACTTACCTTACCCCTCGCAAACTCGTTCCCCATAGAAGACCAAGCCAGATGGGCCTTGAATTGCAGCGTGTCTGCCTTTCTTCGGCGCCATCTGGCATGAAGCAGCGATCTAAAGATGTCAAACACGATCAAGTTACGTGCCTAGGAACAGACAACTGCCTTGGTGACTAAATCCAAACAAAACAAACCATTACCGAGTGGCGATAGGTAGGCAGCAAGGAGGAAGCTAAGGCTGGACTGGCCAGGGACTTTTGAGACGGGATGAGACGAGAAGAGAAGAGAGAGGAGACGGTGCCTGAATGACCACAGGAGAAACCCACAAACAAACCAATCAATCTCTACTACCACTGGTGCGGCTTCATGCGCTCTGTCCTTTGCGATTTGCGATCTGCGATCTTGCCTTTCTCTTCTTTCCTCTCTCTTTTCATCTCTGCTTTGCTTCTTACGGATACAATCGTCCATTTGGTGTAATCGCCGTTGTGCATGTCCTACACGGAGCTCGTGTCCTGGAGTGACGGGGCTACCTGTTGGGAGATGGTCGGCGAGGCTGCTGCTGGTGCTGATGCTGTCACATTGTGCCGTGCCTACACGTGCGCCTCCCTTGTCTTCCTTCAGATCATGAACGGCTCTAGCTCCTGCGGCTTGCTTTCATTGTGTTCTGCAACAGCATTGCTTGTCTGTTCCCGCACGGAGTATGGAGGCAGTGGGCCAACACGCCGCTGAGGACCACGAACAGATAATTTTGAAGCTTTGCCGGCTGTTGCTTTGTGTTTTTTTTCTTCTTCCCCCGTTGTTCTCCCTGCCGCCTTCTCTCTCTCTCTCTCTCTCTCTCTCTCTCGGCCTACCGACGCTCATCTTCAACCTCAGTCTCCGCGATGTCACTGTCCGACCACTCGCGTACATGCGTCTCCAGACAACGTCCCGTCAACCTAAAAATTACTGCTCAGTCCGACCGTTCTTTCTTCTGGGTTTGGCACTTCTTTGGTCGCTGCTTCGACGTCCTTTACCCTTATTTTAACGTCCTTTTTTACCTATTTGATCTTTTTCATCTAAGTTGACGCTACATAACTAACCCAAACCGGTTAGCTCATTAAGCTCAAGCAGCTCGTTACATAACCTTCGTCTGGTCTTGGCAACAAAGACGGTCATCGTTATAAGGCGTCTCATCGCATGGTATATATCAATATATCACTGCGAATCGATACAGATCTCATTGGTCTCTTGGAGCTGGCTTTATCCTCATCATCTGGCTGAGAAACTTCTGATTGTTGTGCCAATATCTCTAGGGGATAGTCATCAGTCATGAATCCCGAAGAACAGGGGAACAATCCGATGGGCAATGACCTCTGGGCAACAGCAAATGATTTCTTCGGTCTTGGGCAATCTCCAAATGGTTCTTACATCGATTGGAATAATGTACTAGCGGAGCCTGAGC